GGTAATGGACAGGTGCGCATCTTCGGGTAGCTCTTGCTTGAATCCCTTTTATGACATGATAATGACCCATTTGTGGAAAGGAGAGAATCTTAGACAATCTACCAGTTAAACGTTCTGGGGCGGAAACAAAAATATGTGTTTGAAAATATTCCACGTCTGAGAATCATTAACTTGTGAGATTTATTTTAATTAATATGGTAATTGTCACAGAATCCACGTTTCCATACTACCATTATCTATATCCACCTACAAAATCTTTAAAACCGCTCCATTCATTAAAAGTTATAAGCAAAACAAGTGTGCAATCTTGTGCAATGGGAATTTGATAGTAGATGGCATCGACTTTAGCCGTCTATCTTTTTATATCCTTTACTCGTAGATTAAAGGGTATAGTGGATTCGTCGAAAAGTACGTAAAAGGTAGAAGGAAGCGTTTCTGTCCCCCATAAAGTATATATATTCCATTTCGTCAGGGTGGCGCACCTTAACGCCCACTAATGACTATAACGCTTAAATCTGACTGCTGGTGTGCTCTCTTTAGCTGAGTAACGGGTATCTGACAGTCGAGGCACTGTAGCAATCTTTCTTGTTTATTATTTAATGAAAACAATACTAGTTAGGAACGTAACCAAAGGCAACATCATATTAAAGTTAAATTAAAGGTTAAAAATTCATGTATAACTACTATAGCAAGGTCGTCCGCAGCATCGCCTGCGAAAATGTCGAAAATAGATCGCTAAATTATCCTTAACTGAAACTAACGGATCCAGCATGAAAATTGTGGGCGCCAAAGGCTTGGGCGGTTTGTGGGCGTTAGAGTGGGTGTGGTATATTTGCGTAACAAGCGTGCGCTGCGTTCAAGGCTACGAAATCTAAATCTGAGATCCCATTACGATTTTTTGAAATTTGTGGGCGTTAAAGTGGGCGTGGTAAACTTTCTAACGATAGGTATTGATAAGAACAATGCATTTAGCTTAAAATTTGTATTCTAGCATCGAAACTGTAGGAGCCACAGTTTTGTGCAGTTTGAGGGCGTTAGAGTGGGCGTGACACATTTTTGAAACAAACTTGGGCTGCGCAGGAATCTCAGGAATGCATGCCTAATCCTAGTGTTGTAGCTCATATAGTTTCCGATATCACAAAAACATTCCTCATTTTCACACCACCATAGACTCAGAGGTTTTGGCACGTTCTTTTGCGGTTTCCCCCATAGACCTATTCCACAATGCAAATATTTTATTAAGCTCTTATTATACCCGTTACTCGTAGAGTAAAAGGGTATACTAGATTCGTCGATAGGTATGTAAGAGGCAGAAGGAAGCGTTTCCGACCCCATAAAGTATACATATTCTTGATCAGGATCACAAGCCGAGTCGATCTAGTCATATCCGTCTGTCCGTTTGTCAGTTTGTCCGTTTGTCCGTCTGACCGTATGAACGCTGAGATCTCGGAAACTATAAGAGCTAGGCTACTGGGACTTGAGAGAATTAGAGAATTGGGATTTCAAATTTAGATTTCGTAGCCTTGTACGCAGCGCATGTTCGTTACGCGAATAGGCCACGTCACTCTAACGCCCACAATCCGCCCAAGCCTGTGGCGCCCACAATTTTCATGCAAGAAAAAAAATTTAACTGAAATGTATTAGTCTCGTCAATACCTATCGATTGACCCAAATATAAGTTTGCCACGCCCACTCTAACGTCCATAACGCTTAACCGTATTTTGAGATCGCGGGTAGGTCGCGCATTTCAATCTCGCTTTGCTGCTTGCATATCTCCATTTTCGTTAGGTCCCTTTAGCTGAGAAACGGGTATCTTATAATCGAGGTACTTGACTATAGCGTTTTTCCTTGTCTTTTATCATCAAGGTTTTACAATGTCTGCAAGTCTTTCCTACAAACGATCTTTTTGGGTTTTCCAAGAGGTGCTAGGTAATAATATTTTTTTAAAGTGGGGGGAAGGCCGTTAATTTGTTTACATTTATATATTTATTTATATTTGTTTAAATATGGGAATGCAATTCCAATTTGAGAATAACAAAATTAGTTTGTAACTTAAAATAAGTTTTGCCCTTCAAAGGAAATGTATTAAATCTGGTGAAGTCTTGCAATTAAAATATTTTTAGCATAAGAATATATGTGAGAACAACAAAGAATTTATATTTAAGCGAATCTCATTTCCACCGTCAGCTACAAAAGCATTTAAGTATTCACACACATGCACGAAAATCTTGTTTTCAGAACCCTTATTTTCATTGTTTTCCACTTGAATTAGATCTATTCGCATTTTTCCTTCAATTTAATGTTCAATTAAACGCCTTTTTTAATTGTCCGTCAAATATGTACATGTATGTATTTAAAAAATATCAACCATTTCCAGTAAATGATTAAATGAACGGTTTTTTTTTCTGCGCTCCGAATTTTTATTTGTTTTTGTTTTTGCTTAGGGCGGCTTTAATTTCCGTATGCGATCCTTTAATTGATTAGGATCATTATTTCGTTCGCTTCGGGAGTGAATTGTCAGTGCAATTTTTTAGTAAATCCATTTACAATTTGTGTTGTGGTTTTCTGCATGCACATTAACTCCATTACGCTCCAGCTCTCCCGCATACTCTCTATCTAGAATTTATTTTTTTGCTATCTATTGTTTTCTTTTGTGCGTTGTCCGTCGTAGCTACAAAGCTGTTTTGTGTTGTTGTTTTTGCATGCGCATCAACTACATTACGCTCCCGCTCTCTCGCACTCCCTTTCTTAATTATTTTTTCTGATTCTCTTAATCGAAAGCTATACACAGGTTTTGCTCTTCCCGCACTTTTAACTGTTTGCTTGAATGACACAAACTTTGGAAACTTTTGTCTGCTCTATTAAAAAATGCCATCAACTAACCAGAGCTGACCAGTCAAAACTGACTTCTTGGCTATGTGAAAGAATGGCTCATACTAAGTGTGCCGTGTATACCGGCTTAAAGGATGTAATTAATAGCTTCAGCGTAGCTAGAGATAGTTTCCACCGAGCAGAGGAGTTACTCTCAGCGCTGGATTCACAATTTAATGGCCTCAAGCTATTGGATGAGTCTCCAAAGCGTAAAAAAGCAACTGGTTGTAGGCAGCCTGGGGAGAACACTCCGCAACCCACGGAAAATGACGATCAGAGCTGCATCACTGAACAGTGGTCGACCACGACAAATCCGCAAATGTTGCTAAGATCAGTAGCTAAAAAAGATACAGATCAACTGCAATCTGGATCGTCCGCATTTGATTCCCCAGTTCCTCCTTCACTTAATATCATGACACCGTCAGTTAATGCTGAGCCTATACTACAGGCACAAGCTGGCTCTGCAGAAAAACAATCTGCCGCACCAAAGCCTTTATCAGTGTGTCTGCCAAAAAAAAAAACAAATATTTGTTTATCGGCTTTCCCTCCGAGGTGTTGGACTATTTACAATTTAGTCTCTTTTCCAATCTAGCTCTTTTCAAACATTTATGTGCAGGTTTCTGGCCTGCACTTGTGATGGTAAAGGAACTTGAATCCAGCAATAGGAATTCAAGTAAATAAAATAAATAAAAAGTAAATATATAAATAAATAATAAGACCTGTAGAAAAAAGACTCCCCAGTAATGTCGCATTTTCATCTTCTAACGTAGCACCTTCTTCAAAAAACTAAAAACTAGCTTAACTCTTACCTATCCGAATCACTGCGTAGCAAGCTAACTAAATTGTATTCTGATTGTCTTTCTTTTGCATCTCACATTATTGTGTTCACTGAGACCTGGTTAAAATCGGATATCCTAAACTCCAAAATTTGTCCTGGTAAGTACACCATTTATAGGTATGATCAACCGTCCAGGCGAGGACGCTGAGTCTTAATTGCCGTGAACTCTACCCTCAAGTCGGAAGGGATTTGTGTTAAGGAATTAAATAATATTGAATTCGTATGTATAAAGCATAGATTCATTATAGTTTATTTATGTCACCTGCTCGAACATTCCGCCTGCATCTGAATTCCCAGAGTACTTAAATCAACTATTTGCTATACGGTCAGTCTCAAATAAGCTGTCTAATAGAGACCATCTTGTAGGTTAAGGAGACTTTAATACATGCATTATGAGCAATTTTTAAAGAAACTTCGAAGACATTTCGCATAGTCTATAACTCAACCAAAAAAAAATGTGGTTTCTGAATACAAAAAAAAAATGCTACAAAATATGCTTCTTGTGTTTTGCCTATGCCCTTTTGTAAAATAGGTCGATGATCATTGTGAGACTTGTGTGCGTCCCTTTTATGATGGTGTTATGCTAATGACTCTTTCCAGTTGTTGATTCTGTAAAAGAAACACAAGTGCCAATACATCTGAGAAACACTAACTTATGAGATTTACTGGGGTTGTTTTTAATTCTTAATCAGTTTGACCTTCATAGGACGAAATCGTGTCACGATCGTTCATGCACCTGTGAGGGTACTGAAGTAATTGACGGATATACAAGTGTCTTTTTTAAATATACTTTTGAGATTTATTTTATAGGAATTTTTTAAATTCCCAATTATTTTCTTCCAACATAACAATCTTAGGATATTTTACACTACAACACCTGTGGAATACTAATTGCTCATAATGTGGGAAAAAGATAAAGTAATCAGTATTGTCACATGTGGATGTGGGGCAAACGTGCGATTTTTCTCACGTACACAACAACAACACGTGTTCAATATTAATCGCTCATAATGAAAACCAAGTCTCGCCCAAGACTCGATAGCATCAAGACTCGACCCTTGTGTGGATAGAGTGCTTTACTCAACGTGTATAGTGTCAAAAAAGGCCTTTGTAATTACAAGGGAAATGTTTTATTATTTAAAAGCATTACGAATTTTAAAGTTTCATCCTAACTGTTGTTTAATATACGCACATGAAACATTAAGGCCAATACGTTTATACCGCCACAAAAACATTTTAAATTGAACATTCTTAAAAATAAATTAATGGCATTTCATTATCGGTAACGTACCTGAAGTGCTGTACGGAATATTTGTGCACGTTCCGTCTGAGCCTCGAAAACTCCATTGATGAAATGGGCATACAACACAATCGTCAATAACCTTTCCACCAATACCCAAATTGGCTCCCAAGTGAGGGCAATATGCATCCAGAATGAAAATTTTATTTTTTTGAGTGCGAAAGATAACTAGTTCTTCTCCCAAACATGACACAAAAGTAGCCTCCCCTGCGCTTAGTTTGCACGATTCGAGGATACCATACCAACCGTTTGGATAAGGGGGAGGTAATTCAATTGGATTTCCATTTCTTACTTTTCGCAACCTGTTGATTGTATCCCGTTTAAGACTAAAACGAATGTCATTTTCTTGTTTCCTTAAAAGTGAACATTTGATGTCCTGTAGACTCTAAAAATGTAAGAAAAAAATTTGGTATTATTACAGTTTTAAAAGTATTCTTAGCAAATTGAAATTGTACTAACTGCCTAAGTTATGGTCCAGAGAGACCCTATTTATACCCGTTACTCGTAGAGTAAAAGGGTATACTAGATTCGTCGGAAAGTATGTAACAGGCAGAAGGAAGCGTTTCCGACCCCATAAAGTATATATATTCTTGATCAGGATCACTAGCCGAGTCGATTTAGCCATGTCCGTCTGTCCGTATGAACGCTGAGATCTCGGAAACTATGAGAGTTACAATACTGGGATTAGGCACGCAGATTCCTGAGATTCCTGCGCAGCGCAAGTTTGTTTCAGTACAGTGCCACGCTCACTCTAACGCCCACAAAGCGCCCAAAACTGTGGCTCCTACAGTTTTGATGCTAGATAGAAAATTTTAACTGAAATGTATTGTTATCATCAATACCTATCGATTGACCCAAAAAAAGTTTGCCACGCCCACTTTAACGCCCACAAACCGCGAAAACCTGTGACGCCCACAATTTTCATGCTAGATAAAAATAGATAACTAAAATGTATTAGTCTCGCAAAAACCTATCGATTGGTCCAAAAAAAAATTTGCCACGCCCACTCTAACGCCCATAACGCTTAAATCTGTATACCGCCGGTAGGTGGCGCATTTTAATCTCGCTTTGCTACTTGCATATCTCTATTTAGCTGAGTAACGGGTATCTGATAGTCGAGGTACTCGACTATAGCGTTCTTCCTTGTTTACAAATGTAATGTTAAGCGACTTTAAAACACACCAGATGGCGCTATAACCGATGGCCTCAACTACTAGAATCTCGTTACTTAGCTGAACGGAGTCCGAAGGAGATGCAGATAAGCAGCCAGAGAAGCGACTGTTTAATGGATGAGATTTGAACCGTTTTTGGCATGTAGTATGATGTTGTGTAAAGAGTCCTAAAACTCTCCACAAATCTCGAGGCAGACGAGCGCTTAGCAACAGCGAAGGAGCCGAGAACAGAGAGACCGTGAAATAAGACTCCTTGTCGCTGAGGAGAAGTAGACCGGCCTTCGGTTGGCTAGCGATATAGCTAATCTTTCGATTATCCTAGCCGGGCCTCGGCAGGAAGACTGCACAACATCCTGTGTCCTTCAAACCGTGTATGATCGGAACGGTTCCGGAGAAGCGACGTCGGAAGAGCTACGCTAATGGAACCGTCGGAGAGCGAAAAGGAACGGAGGAGCGACGCCGTCAAGGAGCGCCGCCGCAGAAGATCCCGGGGAGACACGAACCGAGAAAGGTACGAAATCGAGCAGGTATGCCGTAGCATCCAGCTGACGATCACAACAATTTAAGTGAAACAACAGAGTTTTTTGATTTTTCCAAACGGATATCCTGCATTTTCTTGGGTTACGGACAGTCACGCAGTACCAGGTAGAAGGAAGCGTTTCCGACCCCATAAAGTATATATAGTCTTGATCAGGATCACTACCCGAGTCGATCTAGCCATGTTCTTCTGTCTGACCGCGTAAACTCTAATATCTCGGAAACTACAAAAGCAAGAAAGTTTGGAGTTGGTATGTAGGTTCCTGAGCTTCTTGTGCAGCGCAAGTTTGTTTCGTCAGTGTGCCACGCCTACTCTAACTCTAAGAATAAAATAAATAAAGATATAATAAGCAAGAAATAATAATAAAAACACACCTGTTACTGAGCTAAAAGCACCAGACAGATTTAAGCGTTATGGGCTTAGAGCCCATGGGTGGGGCGAGTGGGCGTGGCAAACTTTTTTTTGAAACAATCGATACATATTGACAAGACTACTAAATTTCAGTTAAAATTTTATTATATATTGTAACGAACTGATTTTGTGTGTCTGCTCGCTACGAGATTCGTGCGGCTAGCTCAGAAGATTGTGTGCTCGTCCCACCAAATTTATATGACGTGATTGCCCGTAGATCAGTGAGAAAACAAAGGAGTTCAAATGGTAACAGTGGGATTTATTTTCGTGGTATTAGTACAGCAGGTGTGTGGCTGGGCTGGCTTCGGTATCTCCTGGCTCTGGTTCCGCCGGCTGCTGGCGCTCCTCTTTCTGGCTCCTCGACGCGTTGACTCGTCTTCCTCTGGATCCTGGGTCTCGGGACGCTCGTAGTGGCCGCCTCTGCTTGCTTGCCGACGCGCTGCCTCGGGGTCGCTTGTTGCGCCTTAGACCCGCAGAGAGTTCGGCCTTGTGGGCTTAGGGAAGCGTCACCGTTCTCAGACTAGGGTGAACAAGCCTTGCTCTCCAGGCCCACGCCTTTCGAGGCAATACCTGTCCCTTGCTCTGTCCCGGACGGTCCCGCTAGGTTCTTGCTCAGTTCGCGCTGACAGTTAAGGCTGCCGCCAGGAAGCTGTCTAGCGGTTCACTTCGCTTTACGCCTAGCGCAGACGAACGTTCCACCCGGCTTCACCCTAATGCGTGACGTCCGCGACGCTCCTGCGCTCCCCAATCAGCTCCGCGCGGCGATGGTGACGTGGTTGCCGGAAATGTCTGCGCTGTCTTCGCGAACTTCGCCGGTAATCGCAGGGCTCTCCAGGCTGCCGCCTCTTGAAACCACAAATCGATCTACCGCTCGTCCGTCACGCCAGGTCCTGCTTGGTCGGGCAAGGTACGCTGGGTCGCAGACAACTTTCCTCCCCAAGCTGACGGTTCTTCGTCGTAGGACTCTTTTGCTTGTCTCTGACAGACCCGCCGGGTGACTCGCCAGGGTGTGGTCGTGACAAAGTTGGAAAACAAACGTGCTGCCTTCCAGAACTCAGCCACCTGTGTCTCAATTCGGAGATTCCTGATGTCCCAATCCCGAACGTCTCGACGTGGCGATCTTGCTCCTTGTGTGCTTCCCACGGCGCTGCTTCCGACGACTCGCTTGGTTGTACCTCCCTCGTAGATTATTTGCTTGACTGACTGTTTACTTGGTACTTTAACTGATCTTGAAGGTTTGACTCCTCGTGATCGACTGATCCAGCTGCCAGCGCTCTGCGCCCTTATATAGGGCCTCCGGGAACCGTTATTTCCCTATTGCGCATGGCCCGCTGGATCTGTCCACACTTGGTCCAAAGTCCGTGCCTCCGGGATGACCCACTTGTCCTTCACGTACCGCTTCCAATAAATGCTCCGCCCACTGCTGCCATTCCGCTGATTCGCGTGCCGTTTGTGGCACGCCTGTGTGCCGCTCCACTGCCGAGATGTGGCACTTCCTCTCCCGGTCCAAAGTTCACGGGATGGTCCAAAGTCCGGTGGAGTTCCGTTATCCTGTTTTTGCACACGGCACTCTTGCCTCGCCCGCGAAGTCTCCATTCTCTCTCGTTCTCCATGCTTGGTCTCCAAACTCTCTCGCTCTCCGTCCTTGGTCTCCAAACTCTCTCGATCTCCGTCCTTGACCTCCAAACTCTCTCGCTCTCCATCCTTGGTCTCCAAACTCTCTCGATCTCCATCCTTGGTCTCCAAACTCTCTCGCTCTCCGTCCTTAGTCTCCAAACTCTCTCGATCTCCGTCCTTGGTCTCCAAACTCTCCTCGCCGCGCCGTTACTACGCGAATTCGCCGCGTAACTGGTAAGCGGCCGGCCATCTGCTGCTGCTTCTATTTGTGGAGAGTTATTCAACTCCTCACAATATATATTTATATAGCAAATAAATTGTGGGCGCCGCAGGTCTGGGCGGCTTGTAGGCGTTCGAGTGGACGTGGCAAACTTTTTTTTGGATCAATCGATACATATTGGCAAAACTAATAAATTTCAGTTAAGACTTTTTATCTTGCATATAAATTGAGGGCGCCACAGGTTTGGGCGCTTTGTGGGCGTTAGAGTGGGCGGGGCATATTCGCGTAACAAACTTGCGCTGCGTACAAGGCTACGGAATTTAAATCTGAGATCCCATTTCTCCATCTTTGATAGTTTCCGAGAAATCCGCGTTCATATTTACGATTTTTTGAAGTTTGTGGGCGGTTTGTGGGCGTTAAAGTGAGCGTGGCAAACTTTTTTTGGGTCAATCGATAGGTATTGATGAGAACAATACATTTTAATTAAAGCCACAGTTTTGTGCGGTTTGTGGGCGTTAGAGTGGGTGTGGCACATTGCTGAAATAAACTTGCGCTGCGCAGGAATCTGCATGCTCAATCATAGTATTGCAGCTCCTATAGTTTCCGAGATCTCAGCGTTCATACGGACAGACGGAAAAACGGACAGACGGACAGACGGACTGACGGGCAGACGGACAGACGGACATGGCTAGATCGACTCGGATAGTGATCCTGATCAAGAATATATACACTTTATGAAGTCGGAAACGCTTCCTTCTGCCTGTTACATACTTTCCGACGAATCTAGTATACCCTTTTACTCTAAGAGTAACGGGTATAAAAATAAATGCAACAAGTAAAACTTCGGATGAAATTAAAAAAAAATTGCCGCTATTAAATTCAAAACTCCGCTCCAGGATGAGCTTCTACAACACGTCCCAGTACCCACTGGCCTTGACACGCATTATTCTCTGCGATGAGCACCAAGACTACGCACTGGTTGTTGTTGCATGTAAGAGTGTTGCAAGAGTGTTAGACACCCAAAAGACCAGCGTCGCCAGAAGGTGTAGAGCACTGCTGCGATCCTCTTACACCGGTTTGTAGCTGATAGCTTTAAAATGTCTTTAGAATGTCATTTAGAAGCCTTCCATTGAGAAAGTGCCCTGGCGTCAACGCTTCGAGATCGTTGGCATCGGACGAGAGTGAGTGAAGTGCCCTAGCTCTTCATAGTTAAGGGCTACAGCATTGAAATATCGAATTAAAAGCTGCCTAGCGAACTTGACTGTGCTCTCCCAAAGTGCTTCAAAGTGAGTGGACCGTGGAGTTGACTTGCAGTTTACTACATTGATTCATTATGTGTTGCGTGTAGTCTTCCTCCCACACCTTCACTTCTTGGTTTATAGCCTTTAGCTCTCAGGTCGCGCCAACAAAATTGGTCGCTTTATCGCAGAAAAGCTCCTTACTGATTGCCGGACTCGCCAAGAATTTTTTAGAGCTCTGCTGAGGTCTGGCACAAGTTTCAAATGACAGGCTTTGGTCAGAAAGCACAAACACGGTGGATACTCTTTCGTAGGTCGTCGTCCTCGCTGATTGATGTGCATCCAAAAATGACCCTAGCAGTCCTTTCCGGGGTTTTCGAAAGGGGAGATTCCACCTTGATTCCACCTTCTGGGAAGTGCTTCCATGATCTATTTTGCCAGGGTTTGCCACTGACGGAAGCAGGTTACGCAATCTCTCACCGCCTTGCGAGCTACTTTTCAGGCGTTAATAACCAAATACCTTTGTCGAGCAAAACCACACACAGTACGTGCTTCCTTATGCATTTTCGATCGATGAATGTGTACGAACAGTGCCTTGACTACCTCATGATTATTTGGCAATAAAAATGGGTGACTTGTGTAATAGGTTTCACTAGACTGCGATAGTCTCCCGTCTACTCTAATAAGTTCCAAATTCTGTACTTGCACCTCGAAAACTCTGGTCAACTTAAAAAAGTCATTGGCGAACTGCACCCTTAGAGTAAGTCCTTTACTACAAATGCTCATCCCACAACTTGGGCAAACTTGCTATATTTCTCCTCTAAGAGCTCTTCCTAGATCTTCCATAGCGTTGAAGGCCACTGCTCTCTAGGGAGTTTTATAAATTTGGGCCCTTGTCACTACATCAACGAATCTCTCAACTCACTAGTCAATGGTCCACGGGACACTATATCGGCTGGATTTCATTTTGTCTCCACTTCTTACCAATCTTTCAACTTGGTTGCTTCTTGTATGCGTGCAACTCTATGCACCACATCTATTTTCCATCAACTAGATTGAGAGGATAGCCAACCAAGGACTATGGTCGAATCGGTAAAATTTGGGGTCTCGGCCACAGC